GACTATAGATCACAATAATTTCAGTTATGTATTAGATATTTCTTCTGTATTTGTACATCTCTTCTGCAGAAGTACATGCCTACTACGTTACTTCTGTATTGGCACATCAATACGTGTCTCTTCTATTTCATTTTTATATATACAGCTCGACTCCTCAGTATTAGTGTATGTTTCTGCTTTATTTTCAGCACATTCCTGTTTTGTATTAGTATATCATTGCATATTTCTTCTGTGAGTAAAAATGATTTTATAAATTGTTGTGTAATCAAAAACATGAGAGTTCACTTATCTTAAAATATGTCTACATTATCGTATTATTTTATAATATTGACGTTTAATGAGTGTTAATCTCAAATAATGATGTTTTACAACAGTTTTCGTCACCTTAATCCAAAAAGTGCATGCAAACATATATATTTCGAGTTTTGCTTTGTATTTTTTAATCCAGTGTGATTTTTTATTATTTGTTTGTTTAGGAATAGTGCTTCTTTGTCTGTTTAATTCTTTTCAGTATTTTTGCACAAAGCTGTCCGAGCATTACTGATTTTACTAGAGGGAAGACAGCTAGTCAACAGCTCCCGCCACCACTTCTTGGTCTGTTCTTTATGATCAAATAGTGGGATTTGAACATTATGTTTTTTATATATACTGCACCCAAAGTCTAGAGTGTGTTTTTGCTGCAAAGGGTCGCGAACCATGAAACCTCAAATTCAGTCTGGCTACGCGTATAATAGTAGGACGAACCGCCTAAACGTCACGTTAATGTAGCCTATATAATGTGCAATGTGTAGTATACTCTAATCACTTATAGTGATGGCACACGACGAGACACACATTTTGCGTGTAATGCTGTTTGAATACAAGAAGGAAAATAACGCGTCTGTTACCACAAAGAATATCAAACAAGTTTATGGAAATGTTTTGAACGTTCGTAAGTGTCAACGATGGTTCAGCAAATTTCGTTCAGGTCACTTTAGCCTTAAAAACTGTGATGGCATGGGCCGACATGTTGGAACTGACATTAATGCTCTGAAGATGCTTGTTGAGTCTAACCTAAGGCAACACATTCGTGAAATGGTCTTGAAATTACATGTCTGTCATGAAACAATACGTAAACCTCTAAGGAATATTGGAAAACTTCGTAAAGTTGTTTGGATGCCTCAAGAACTCTCCGATGATCATCGTTTCCAACGTGTGAACGTTACTTCGTCTCTTTTGGCGCGTAATGTGCGTGAACCATTTTTGGACAAAATTGTCACCGGTGATGAAAAATGGATTCTTTATGCGAATATTAAACGCCAAAAACAATGGCTCAGTCCTAGACTAAACCCACTTCCGCAGGAAGTGATGCTTTGCATTTGGTGGGACATCAAAGGAGTTATTTATTTCGAACTCCTCAGTCCACAGCGAACTATCAATGCAGAAATTTATAGTCAGCA